TCGCGAGGGGGTGAGGGGAGCGTCTCGCCCCCGGTACCGACAGGTCACCAGTTCGAGTCCTGATGGGGCCACTCGCCTGGTTTCGAGGTCAGGTCCCCAGTAGGGGGCGTGCGGGAAGCAGCCAATTGATGTTCCGCTCCCTCTCTCTCTCTCTCTCTCTCTAAAAAAAAAAAAAAGGAAAAAACATTCTAAAATTTTTTTTTCCAAAAACCTTTATCCAGGGGTAAATGGACAATTAGAATTTCCTGCTAACTTTGAGAGTTGGAGCCTAATAAGTAGGAACTTCTTAGGAAAACAACCAGACCAAGCTATGTCCAGACTTCTTAAGTGTCTTTATTATTTTTCTGTTGGTTTCGTTTGCCCACTTTAAACAATTCAGAAATGTAAATATATTTAAAACAAAAAAAGTAAAGTCCTTTTCTGGCCGGTGTGGTTCTGTGGTTGGGCGTTGACCTATGAACCAGGAGGTCACCGTTCGGTTCCTGGTCAGGGCACCTGCCCAGGTTGCAGCCTCCATCCCCAGAAGGGCTAATCGATGTTTCTCTTTTTCCCTCTCCCTTCCTCTCTCTCTCAAGTTAATTTTTTTTAAAAAGTAGAGTTCACATATTTCCTCCATCCCCAACCTACTCCTAGAGTTGTTAATTTTATTGTCAGCTTCCCATCCTTACCTCTAATAATAATAATTACATCAAACACGTAATGCTTACTAGGTGCATTGTTCTGCTTTACATATATTAATCTTCATAACAACTCTTATCAGGTTGATACTATTATTGTCCACATGTTACAGATTAGGAAAGTGATGCACAGAGAAACTGTCCAAAGTACTACTCCACTGCCTTCCCAAAAACTTGTGCCATTTGCATCCCTTCATCCTTTTCCCCACATTTTCTTTTTTTTTTTTTTCTCACATTTTCACCAGTAATGCCTTTCCAAGATTCCTAATCTTGGCATCACCGGCACCCAGACAGGAAAGGAGAAGAAAGGAAAAATGAAGACTTTGAAACATCATCTTCCCATGTCCATTTGTCATAAAGGAGGAAGGAAGATGACACAAATGGCATTTAGGGATATGCTTATTTCCAAAGAAAAGGGATGTGAGTTTCAGTCAGGGAAGTGCTGGTAAAAGTTTAACAGGTTCTATGGATTTTGCTAATTTCAGTGGTGACATCATTAAACATGGAGTTGATAGAGATATTCACAGAGCCTGTAAGAACTGGTTCCAGTATGTCAACTGTAATTGAAAAGAAATTTAAGTTATTTAAAAAAAAAGAAATGGTCAGTAAAACCTCTAAGGGAGCTGAAATATCAAGGACAAGGAGTCAACCCTGCAACAATCTTGGAAGAAAGCATTTTAGGCTGAGGGAAGAGTTTATGAATACAAAACCCAAAGCCAGAATGAACCTGTCACAATTGAAGGGGAGAAAGGGTTGTTACCAAAGCTCTGAGAGCTAGGCAGAGAGTACGACAGAGATGAGGTTCCAGTGAAAGCAGGTGTACATCAGCATGAGTACATTTTATTTATTTTTTAAGATGTTTTTATTTATTTTTAGAGGAAGAGGAAGGGAGAGGGATAGAGAAAGAAAAATCGATGATGAGAGAAAATCATCAATCAGCTGCCTCCTACACACCGCCTACTAGGGATCAAGCCCACAACCTGGGCAAATCTTGGTGCCTGGGTTGACGCTCAACCACTGAGCTACACTGGCCAGGCAGCAGGAGTACATTCTAGAGAGGTGAGCAAGAATAATCAACTGCAGGGGATGAATTGTCCAGGCCCAGGCAAAATAAGATGGGAAAGAAAAAAAAAAGGAACTGATGCATTATATTATCAGAACAATCCATGAAAATGGAACAGTAATTTAAAGGACTGCCCAGCTGGTGTGGCAAAAGGACTGATTAGAGATGGTTTGACCAGTGAGGAGAAAAAAATAAAGAAGACTCAAGGTCTATGATACGGCTTGAAGACACGTGGGAGGTGAGAGAATGGACAAAAAGGGAACTGAATGGTTGTGTCTGAGAAGGAGCAAACAGGAGCACAGGAAGTGACCGAGATAAGTGAAATAACAAAAGATGCCTTCTCACAGCCAGTACACTGTGTTTATACAAGGACTATGCTACTGACCCGTGGTTAGAGAAGCAGATAATTCTGAATAATTCTTTTCCAAAGGCAGAGATAAATTTGTTTCTTTATAGCCATGCTCTCCATACGTCAGCTTCCTGGTTGCCAAGGCCACCCATTCACAGCCCATTCAGTGGGGTAAGGGCTGTGTTAAGAGCCACATGTCATCAGAAGAATGAGACCAAACATTTGTTGTCCCAATCTCCACCTTCCTGAGCTGGTTTACCAGAGAAATCACACACAGAATCCCAGAAGGAAGACTGTTCCAACTGAAGCCCCAGAATGTGTCTAGATCAGTGGTTCTCAACCTGTGGGTCGCGACCCCTTTGGGGGCTGAACGACCCTTTCACAGGGGGCCGCCTAAGACCATCGGAAAACACATATATAATTACATATTGTTTTTGTGATTAATCACTATGCTTTCATTATGTTCAATTTGTAACAATGAAAATACATCCTGCATATCAGATATTTACATGACGATTCATAACAGTAGCAACATTACAGTGACGAAGTAGCAACGAAAATAATTTTATGGTTGGGGGTCACCACAACATGAGGAACTGTATTGAAGGGTGGCGCGGCCTTAGGAAGGTTGAGAACCACTGGTCTACATGAAGAGACAAAAGTGTTGCGCTGGGGTGGGGTTGATTCTGTGGTATAATTATTGTTAATTCCCACTCTGTTCCACCAGGGGGCAGACTGACTCAACAGATAACCTACTACACAGGGTGATCCCGCTTTTTTCAAAAGGAGTTGGGATTCCAGCACTAAGGGCTGGTAACCACACCAGCATTCTAGCGCTGCCCCGGGAGGAGTCTGTCTTCCTTGAATAGCCCTACCCAAGTGAAGCCTCCGATTTTTGTCAGCTCCCAGCGCCATCCCTGTCCTGACCATTATTCCCCAAAACGTTCTCCTATCCTAAGTCCTCTAAAATTCCTCCTTCCCCGGGTCATCCTGGTTAAACGTTTACTTCCCCTCGCCCCCGCCTCTCCGGCCTCAGACTGGCAGGATGAGGTCAAAAGGTAAAGAGGGGAGCGGTAGTGGGTTGTGGGAAAGGGGAGGGAGACAGGCCGGCCTAGGCTG